AAACCATAATATTCTTAAAACTGAGTCTTTAAAACCATAATTATTATGCATAGTATGTAAATCTATGTATGTGTGTGGGTTATCAATCGTCCAACACGTCATTTAAATTGTTATAAAATATCGGGTTATCAATATTCGTTACATATACTGTAAGGTAATCAAATTAATATTATATCCTTCTAATTCAGTATCAAAAGAAAGTAGATTATACCTTCAGTGTCTTTAGAAGTACAGTATTTTTCACGCAAAAATTAAACCCTGTATTAAAAAGTATGGCAGCCCCTGGCCCCCAGCGTATGGCTCGGGCCTTCCATCACTTCGTTGCGCCACTGATTCTTTGTAGTTCCGCATTTACAAATTTTGCACCCCACTCCCTGATGGGGACCTCCTTGCGCTCCTGAATACATGAAACAGGGAATGAACTAATACATTTTACTGCAAACGACTTGTGCACATGCCTCTTAAATGTAATAAAATCAAACAGAGTAGGCATTAACAGGGGTTTTTTTTTTTTTCCATGCGTGGAAGTACGACTACAAGACCATACTTTTTTCTTTGAAGTTCCATCCATGTGTTTTCTGTTTATTTAGCTCTACATCAAAAACTGTATTAAGCCACTGTTTCAAAAAGTGTATGCAGTTGGTTGTGGAGAATTGGCCATTTGGAATAGGGGATAACAATCACAAAAGAAAAATGCTAATTGACTAGTCCTGTTCTTAGTGAATTTTCTCAATTCTCAGGTGTTCGTGTAATAACAGTCAATGTACCTTGAGTTTCATATATAAAAAAAATAAAAAAATAAAAAATAATAATAATAATAATAATAATGTTATGTCCAAGTCTATTATTGCTATCGTTGCCGTTGTTGCTATATTAGTGTCATCATATTGCTATTGTTATTTCAAACACCTTACCAATATCGTTATTTTTATTGTTGAATTGATTTAATAAAAAAAAACACCATGATTTTTAATGAAACGGTAGGCTAATGTCATGCATGCTACAGGATTTTTTATGTAAATAATTACCGAATTATTAGAGTATTAGATGCTGTATACAAAACAATTATTTAAAAATTGTAGATTCTCATATATATATATAATTTTTTTTTTGCATTTGAATTGTGATTTGGTTTTAAAAACATCACACTTTTTTGTATGATTTAAAGTTCAGAATAATATTATTATTATTACAATTTATCACAATCATAAACAATCATGCATTAATTAAAAATAATTGATATGATAATAGATTTCATAACTTGGAGATTGTCACTTACAATTTTTGAAGACTAGTCAAACCACTGAATGCACCTTGGTTTAGTTCAGTTATTCGGTTACCACCCAAGTTCCTTCAAAAAAAGAAAAAAATAAACAATATTATTATTAAGCAAATGTAAACTATAAATTAATAATGTTGCCAGTTGTAAACATGTTGCCTTTAATTGGCGATGTGTTTTAATCCTGTTTCACCTGATTTTTTTTATAATTCCACTCATTATGCCTGAGAACAGCATTTATTCTATGTAGAGCATTAGTACCATGTATATTCAGTATAGTGAAAAGTGAAATTATGTTGGTAACAATATTATTACGACTATACCCCTCAGTGAGCATAGAAGGTTGCACGTTGTGCTGGTTTGCCATTGTATGTTATCCATTGATCAGGGGTAATAACGATCAGCGCATTTGATCATTGATTTGGTTTGGAACTGGCGCTTTACAAAAAATAAAAAATATTAATATTATGTCTAAGTCCATTATTGCTATCGTTACCATTGTTGCTAGCATTAGTGTCATCATTATTGCTATCTTTATTACAATCACCTTTAATTAAGAATATCGTTATTATTATTGTTGAATTGATTTAATAAAAAAAAAGACACCATGATTTTTAATCATCATTAAATATTATTAAATATTGTTTGTAACCGATAATTGAGCTGTAATCAGTATGTAACCGACAATATGATGCTCCTTTTACATGCATATAAATTCATTGCGATCAATATTTTACATGAAATAGGTATTGTGTGAACAGGATAAATGGCATGAAATTAATTATTTGTCAAGTTAAACATTCTCTGTATGGAATCAATCGTCATTACACCGATAATAGATATGATTTTCACAACCTTTTTAATTTAATACTCGTCATGTGGTCGATCACGATATTCATTTCGAATGATATTCGATAACTCATGAGGTGTATATTGATGTTTGAGGTCACGGACCCCGTTTACGATGGACGTGCGATGTAACTGGCGGTCAAAAATACAAAACATCTTACCAACCAGCAATACAGTAAGTCCTACTCGCGAACTTTTAAATCCCACAACGGTCATCCCATTAATTCACCTCGTGTTATTTCCTAGCAGATTGATTTGATATTTCCTAATAAATGTTTATCTAACTCTCCTTTTTCTATCCCGTATTCATGTGCCTCACCTCTTGCATGACTTTTTAAATATCACCCCATCTGACGTTATCTCTGCATCTAA